CGCTTGCCACAATATAGCCAAGCGGAGATTTGGGAGCTTTGAGCTTCTTAAATCATTTTAAGCTCAATTATGAAAGGAGACCCGATAGAGTAATGGATTGCGGCTCCGGTTGAAGAATAGGAAAGCCGAGTTCGAATTCCAGTCGAGTTTATTACATTCACTTATGTTTTTTAAGACATTTAATGTCTTAAAAAAATAATTGTCGGACTTTGTCCATCTCATAATGTATTCACTTACGTGTTAATACTCTTGAAAAACGTATGAATCCAACCCGTCTCCCCCTAGCTATGGGTTAAATAGTAGGACGGTTCTATAGCCTCGTGTGGTAACTGGTCTAGGAGAAGAATCTGAATTCAAAACTGTATGTAGCAGCTAAAGAAAGGACCGTTCGCATTGACTGGATGATCTCGACTACAGTCGAATCCCTTTTTATTTCTACTTAAGAGAAAAATTAATACAAGACTTTCACATTTTTAAATCTATTAAAAATAGGGTTGAGAAACCCTGGTTTGAATGAAGAGTCAAAATTCCTGAAAAGAGATTTAATTTTGCATTTTACCCATCTAGAGTTATTTTGAGAGTGATTTTTCAGTGCCAAAAATCGATTCAGCACCCACAGAAATAAAGCAATGTGGTCTAGATCCTAATTCTCTGCTGACGCCTGCAAAACATAACAGCACTCTTTTAATGGTCTCAGAGAAAACCCTTCTTACCTTCCATCAGCATGACACTGATGTATGTTTGGATCAGTAACTGTTGCTAACTAAGTTTAAGATAAGACAGATTAAAAGATCAACCTTCCCCCAATCCCCCCTTTTGGCCTTGTGCCACGTTTTTGTATTTGCAAAATAAATATTACTTTCTTCAATGGCATTCTAAGGTATTGTGGTGGCAGTAGTATGAATTAGTAATCAGTAATATGTTTTGGTGTAAGGAATTCTATGGTATGTTTGGGTCAGTTTAATTATAAGTTCAGATGAAGACCATTCTTCCTCATCGCTCCTTTTGGCCCTGTGCCAATTTTTGTATTTTACAAAATAAATATTTTCCTCTATGGTAACAAGAATTTATGAATTTAAGTGCAGTACTAGATTGGCGGCAAGGTCTCATCATTTTACAATTGAAATGGCTACATATAACCGTAAGTTCTATGCTAACAGTTCCTTCTCTCGCACTTCTCGTTTTTGGAAATCTCTTCCAGCTTTTTGCTTCCCAATCAACTTTGAGATTCAAAAATTTAAAAACAAAGTCAATCGTTGTTTTAATTCTTATTCTTTTGTTGTACTCTACTTAATAGTATTATTTTTCTCATTCTCTAACAATCAGTAACCCATTGTGTCTTAGTGGCTTCATTACCTTGCTTAGAGTGAAAAGATTAAAGCATATTCAAGGAAAGATATGTAAAAAACATTTTTGTCCAAAGCGGGTAATAACCAGTTTAACGTAAAAAATGAACCGGGTTCTTTTTAAATATCTTCCCGAGAACAATTTCTCTTACATTTTTCAGATTTAAATTGTTTTATATTCGGGAACTTAACGTTATTCGAAGTTGTGTAGTCAGAGACAAAAAGTGGTCGAAATATGGTAAACATTTTGTTAATTTGACTGAAGTTTGTGTTGTGGGGTCGTCATATTTACTTGACAAGTCATTTTTTTTTACAAATTGTCAAGTTAAACTTGTCTGTCATTTATAAAATTAATTTCGACAAGATTCCAATAACTTTCCTCACAAACACTTTAGAAAAAGCATCTATCTAGAACTGGTCAACTAAAAATAGATATTCTTTGAGTGTTGATTAACCTCAAAAGGTCATAACTTGACAAATACTTGGTTAGGACAAAGTTACACCAGTTATGGAGCGTCTTTGAGCATTTTGAAGCCTAAAGGGATTAAGTCTGCAGCGAAGAGATGAATTTCCCCCTCAAAAGAGTTTAAATGAGGCATTTAGCCTATTTAAACTTTTGGAGAAAAACGCCAAAAGTGGAGTCAAACAACATATGAGAATAAAAATCAAAATCATGATAATTTTTTGTCAAAAGCGGGTATTGATCATGTAATGTATGAAAGGAATTGAGTACGTTTTAATTATCTTCCTGTGAACAATTTTCTTACATTTTGCAGAGTTAAATTCTTTTAATATTTGAGAACTTACACAAAAATATATTGTCTTAGGCATTTTTTGTTTTTAGCGTTATTCGAAGTCGTGTGAGTCAGAGACAAAAAGCAAGCAATGCAAGTCAAAATTGTGTTAATTTGAATGAATTTTGTTTTAGTACACTAAATCTCATTTGCTAGTTAAACCTGTCTGTCACTTCATTTCAACAAAATTTCAATGGCGATACGAGCAAAACAGACAAAATAAATATCCTGGACCGATCATCTAAAAATAAATGAATTAAACATATATTATTAAATAAAACAGACAATGAATGTCTATTATGTCTGACCAGGAGCCGTCCTAAAGTTCGAATGTTTGCTTTAATTTCGGGTGAAAATAAAGACAAAAATTGCCACCATTTAAATATTCTTTTTTATTAAGATGGTCCTAAGCTTTTGGCTCACATGAGCCATCCTCAGATTGGTTATACAGGCATGAAACAAAGATATCCACCGTCAAAACTGATATTTTGTTATTTTGACATACAAAATTGCTATGCGACAATAACGGTCGCGGAATAGCAGACGCAGATCATAAGTTTAAGATGCGGTTCTATGACGTCATACCACGCGATACACCAAAGCATTACAACAGAACCATATGTCTAGATGCAATGTAATATGTTGTGACTAGTTTGAAATGTAATTTTGTTGAGTGTGTGTTGCTTTGTTTTAATGTAAATGGCTTCCAATATCTGAAGGTTCTTTTTACTGTGTATGTGTGAGTATTGCGTTATAAACTAATATCTGTCTAATATTATGTACATGACTGTGTTTTTCTAAAAACAATGTTGTTTAATAGAACTAAGATCAGAAAGGTGACAAGTAAGTCTACAGGAAAGCGTAGTTGTAGTAAAACCAATGTATGTAGCGGATTTATTAGCATCAGAGACAATCTCTGAACGGGCATGTAAATTGATACTCTACGTTGGTTCTTGTAGAGGATTTAGTTGCGTTGTAGGGATAAATGATTAAACATGTCCCAGTTTTAATTTCAAAACTTGGAGGTAAGGGCAAAAATTAGTTCTGAAATCCTGAGATTCAGACGATATAAAAGACATATCACTTGGGAAATGTTTCGAAAATGCCACTTGCAAGCCGACCGTTTATTCGACCATTTTGAATATCTCGAGAATGGGTTACACCGCCTTTATGCAACTTGTCAAGCAATCTTAGTGGCACTTGTACGTGGTGTCATGGTTAACAAGCTTGTGGTAGTTATATTGATCCTCACTGAGTGCCACTTACTTTTTGGCCCTGTACCACATCTAAGTTTCGTTTATAAAACCATCAATCATAATGTAAATTACTGCGCGTGCTTGAACAGAAACTCTTCCACCGGATTACTCAGTTGGTAATGAAACACGATTAACTGAGATTTCAGCACTTGGATGAGATTAAGGAGATCGCAATGGGGCAGCTGATGGCGATTCCGAACTCGGACTTTGATAACTATTTTAAAAAGGACACAAATTAGCGTGTGATGTCGTTAAGGGAGTACTTTGAAGGGAAATAAAACGACATTGTTCGAAAGAGGTTATTTTTCGTTAAATGACTAATTAATTTCTGGACAGCCTCGTAGGAATTTTATTGTTGGATAACAAGTTTTACTGCTTTTTATGCGCCAGTTACGACCGCAGTGTGTACATATCAATCAATATGAAATGGAGAGATCAGAAAACATGTAATGTTTGTCATATTTCGACATTCAAATATATCTTTTTTTCAGTTTAAGATATTCGTCGAAATATCGGTTGATTCAATCAGCGAAGTCGAGATGTGGAACCATGAATCATTGCCTTAAATCTCGGCTGCGAGACGCCCAATACTATTGGTTCTTTGCTCTGTCTCGCATTCTTGATTACCAGAACGAATTTCAATTAACACCATTCAACCAAACTTTGATATCAGCGGAGAACTTTATTGTTTAAACACGAACACTAAAATCTTTCGCCTCTATCGGAGCAAACGAGTTAGAGATTTATTAAGAAGTCAAGTTGGAAAACAGATACAGGAAGTGACGTCATAATGCAGCAGCCATTTTGAAAATCTATTTTCAAAACTGTATTATCATTCCATATATATTACGTTATTATTATTATTATTATTATTAATAATAATATCATCATCATTATTATTATACTACGACGATGAATTTTACAATTTTTACTAAATGGGTGTTTTTAGTTGGACCCCGTCGAATATTGTAGTAGATGTTGTGGTGACTGATGAAATTGTTAGAATGAAAAGGTCACGAGTCGGATTAGCTAGGTGTAGGATAGTCAGTGTTGATAAGCCGTTGCCCCCACTTCCTCTTCGGCTTTGTGCCACATTAACATGTATATATGTTACAAATAAACACATTTTACATTATTCGCTTAGTCGCTTAATGTAATGTGCTCAAGCCCCCGGGGATCCTTCAAGCAATATCACTTCTTTGAGAGGTGGCTGGAGTTATTACCTGGCTCCTGAGTTATCCCATAGAGGTAGTGCCGAGGAAGCTTGGACAGTAGGGTCGCTGCACAGTTAAGCACCTGACCGATACCCCCCCCCCTCCACGTACCTAAGTTAAAAGCCGGTGAAGTATTTATTCATGTGTAGCGTGTTTTGGACAAGTAGATTTAGTGATATCCATCCCTTTTTCAGGTTAAACCACAACCGATGTCCTTCAAACTGAAGGCTCGCCTTGGTCACGGACACATGGCTGTTGATTCTATCGGGGATCACCTTCTGCCCTAGTCGCTGACTTGGTCTAGAAAGCTCTGTTCAGTGATACCGTGTTATCAACCTCCCCCCCCGCTCACGTCCGTGGCTATGGAACTCAGTCTATCCCTTAAAGGCTTACAATCATATCACGTTGAAACACCGGTTCCCTTACGATCACCGAAGTTAAGCAACGTCGAACCTGGTCAGTATCTAAATGAGTGTCCGTTTGGGAATACTAGATGCTGTAAACGGATAATTGTAATTGTTAATCAGAGAGCGGAGTTCGAAATCGTTAGATTCACTTACGCACAAATCCCCCCCCTTGGGAGAAGAATGAATCCACCTATTCACCTCCATGTAAAGGGTTAATTAGCAAGATTTGTATGACTAAACCTTTATTATCTCGAAAAAAAAAAAAAAAAATTCTATCTAAAAATATTTTCTGGTTTTAAATAACTTTCAAAAGGGTTGATAAGCGGTAAAAAATGATTCAGTCAATCTCCCCCCCCCCCCACCAAATGAGCTTGATAGACATTGACCTTACAAGAAGGTTCTTCAGCTATTTGACAGATCTTGTTTTTAATCTTGATGTGTGTTTAGCTACCCTTCTCACCAAAATAAGCCTAGTAGGGGAATCGACTTAGTTGCGGATAACCCGACCATTTGGCAGGTAGTGTTCTCTTACTGGATATCAGTAACATTCATAGAGTGACCTGAAATTATTTTAGTATTAAATCATTTAAACTTACCGCTTTATACTTGACCTTGTGTCAGATTCTGTTTCAGTCTGTGAGAGGAAAATATCCAAGTATTCTAAGTTCAGATCATACAATTTGCCGCTATTCGAAGTAAATTTGTTGGGATCCCCCCCACCAAAGAAAAAAAAAAGCATTAGCACAAATCCGGCTTTACGTTCGACACTAGCAGTAGCAAATTCTTTTTTTCTGTCCAACCACAATAATATATGACTACATTAAAAACCGCCATATTGGGCGGTATTTAAGCTAGCTCTTGCGGGGGGCTCTTGATTGGGCCTTCCTCCCAATAGGTAGGGAGGAGTGGATGCGATCAGCAACAAGAAACTACAGAAGAACTCAAAATTGATCACTGCATTTAAGTATTGTATTAATATTTAAGCTTACCTTTTAAGAGTTCAACAATAATTCTTATGTAGCTACTTAAAGACAATTTGATGTACGTAGGTCCTTACTTTCCATACAAACAATTATTTTTATTTCATGGGTGAATTTCGCAGGATTTTGCGATTAATTTCGATTATTCCCAAATTTACTTTCAAAGTTATAAAACTTGTTATCGTACAAAAAAATTCGTCGCAAAAAAGCACGTCAAAAAATCGACGAAAAAAATGGCACTTGTGAAAATTTGGGAATCCAAAATTTCTGGATCCGGCCCGGAATGTTTTCAATTTCCTCATATCGGTCCGATTCCAAAATGGTATGATATGTTGGTCTACGGCCTCTAAGAGTAAAGTTGAAAACACGGACAATTTTATTTTGAAACACTAATTTGAGAACTGTAATTTTTTTCATTTGAACACAAGCTATTGAAAGTTAGTTGTGTCCCTTTAAGTTGAAAAAGAGTGGCGTACTGACATTCGCATTTATTATATAGATGTTTGGAATTTAATGAGAAAACTATAGAATAAGAAAAAAATTACCGATTATCGAAAAACAGTCTATAAAATAGTTTCAGAGGGGGGGGAGTGTTGTTACAGTCATGCATTGAGTGTTAACACCTTTATCGACCGTTCTATTTTCCGGTCTTCTTTTTACTTGCATGTCTGATACGAGGTGTTTGTGTTGTAAAACTATTTCTTTTTCAGACAAGCTTATTGTCTTCAGAAAATGGCAGCGTCTAGAAGGTGCTGAAAAATTCTCGGCCCAATCAAGAAGCGTTTCCTTAAAAAAAAAAAAATAATAATTGTGAAATGGATTTGACTTAGAACCTTTCAGTCTTAGATTTAAGACTAAAATATAAAAAAAAGGAAATAAAAACTGCTTGTGTAGCCTCTGGGTCAAATCCGGGTGGGAAAATTTGGTCACGGCTCTTCCCATTTTCATCAAATTGGACTAAATAGATCTTTTGGAAAAGGTTTTTTTGGTCAAACCGCGAAGTTTTCAAAACGCCCAAGCAGATAAATATGGAGAGAGAAGATGGAGAGAAAAAGAACTGATGTTTGTAATTTTCAAAATCCCCTTGGAAGTACACCGGACGTAACCAGTCAAATACCATACCACCTTGGATCAAATAACGAATTCCATTGGAAATTCCCAGAAGGTTTCCCAAGGAAGGATAAGGGATAAAGGTGTCCAGATAAAAAATTGCAGCTGCTTTCAACGCACTAACAAAGAAAATGGCAGTCGAAAGCGAGGCTATTTCAGACCGTGGATAAAATTAAGTTTAGTAACTAGGAAGTCGTGGACGTGCAGGTGGTGTAATGGTTAACCTAGAAATCGGCGGACCGAGTTCTAATTTCGGCCGAGGTCGTTATATTCACTTTCGCACAATAACCTAGGGAAAGGTAGGAAGTCATCTATTCTCTATGAGCTAACTAGTAGAACAGACAGGACTCCCTCATTGTAGGCGACAAACAGCATAGGAGAGTAACAACTCTGAATTCAAAATAGTATGTGTCCCTAGTGGGGCACATACTTGAACGGTAACGAAGGTTTGTTCAGTATAGTTGCTGTACGAACCACAGATTGGCTCTGTGGGTGTTAATCACAAAAGGGGCCTGAGTAGATGGGCATGTTTAGAAACGAGAAGCTATAAGAAATCAGATTTTGATTTACAGTATGCTTTGACTCGAAACAGCTCTGATAATGAATTAGCTCTTTCTATAGACATTATTTACATTATTGTCCTCATCTTTGTCGCCATATTTATTATGACGTTTCGGCCGTTGTACGCTCCGGCCTTCTTCAGGTGGTTGGAATGACGAACGTCTTCTACGTACATTTGTCTTCATATTTTTGGTATATCGAGTCCGTACCGATCCTTCAGTACTGGTCTATATTTCTATAGACTTAAATAAAAGCCTTTTACCTCATGCATAGAATGTCGAAAACCAGCTTCGTCAAAAGTGTTTTCCGATTGGATTACAAACAGTGAATTGATTAATTTAAATGAATTTCTTTTCCTTTACTCAAGTTTGCCCAGTTTGCTTTAAAAATTGGCCAAAAAGTTTCCAGTCGTGTTATTCGAATCTAGAAGCGCTGGATTTTCAAAAAAGTATGTATATTTTTTTTTACAGCAGACAAATGTTTGATTCGCTTTCTACAGCTTACCAAGGCTTTGCAGGTTATTTAAAGCCAGATCTACTAATTAACACATAGCTAGGGGAGAAGAGGTGGATTTATACCTTTCCCAAGGGATTTGTACATAAGTGAATATAACGAACCCATCGGGAATTGAAACTCGCCCCTCCGCTTAACAATCCCGAGCCATTATCCATTACACCAGCCGCACATACAAGCTTACAATACTTGCTATTCTCAAGCGGTCATCCATCTTGGGACTGACGAGGCTCGATATTTCTTAACTTCAGTGATCGTACGGAAACCGGTGTTTGAACGTGATATGACCGGAAGCACGGAAAAGAGAAAGAAATAAGCAAAGTATACGAGAAGAATAAAGAATTTATATATAAAATTCTGTGACTTCTGTTAGTCCGTCCTTCAAACTCTCTAAAATAGCCATACATTGGTCGATCGAAGTCAAATTTTGGGGAGAAGTGCAAATAGATGGGGTGGGGTACAAAGTACATTTGGTTTTACCTATGTGCGTAACTTAGAACAATAAATTTTTATTATTTTTTGGAAAAATTAAGTTTATTTTATTTTTATTTAACATACAAACTCCTTCGCTTGACTTTTGTAATCGTTGTGCGGATCCGAATGCAGAAGCCACACAATCTCTTCCACAGCGGTCTATCAACTGCAGCTACCAGCAATTCTGGTATAGTCATACCTGTCTATTATTTGACACTGTCCAACCAGATTTTGTGTTGGCGTCCTCTTCTACGTCCACCTGCTTGCATCCTTGTAACGTATCCAAACCACGCCATTTTTCTCCGTTTGACAGTGGCGAGAAAAGGTTCCTGGTGGCCCGCAAAACTTTCAGTCCTTTTTCGCACAAACTCATTTTTTTTTTGGTTCCCAATAGAAAATGCCATGGAGTTTTCTCATGCATTTGTTCTCAAACGCTTGGAATCTTTCTCTCTGTTTCTGCCAACAGTGTGTTTCATATAAGAAAATGAAGAATATCAGCGATTTGTAAAGTCTGTACTTTGTTTGAAAGCTGATTTTGCTCCTCCATATTCTTGCCAATTTGACCATTGCTTCCATGGCTGCGGCAATCCGTATGCAGATATCCAAGTTTCAGGTACCATCTTAAGACAAGATTGCTCTCAAATATTTAAAACTGGACACTTCTTCCACTGAATTCCCATTCATCGTAATGTTGACACAGGTTTTACTGTTTGTGCTATTCACCATTACTTTGCATTTCTCGGAGCTGACCTCCATTCCATATGCTCCTGCTCGTTCAAAAGGTTTGTTGGTCAAATCCTAGGGCTCACTGTTACGACCTGTTATGAGGACAATGTCACCTGCAAAATGTAGGTTACAGACGGGTTGCCTTTTAAGTCAAAAGTTGTGCATTCGTCTACCAAATATTATGAGATTTTGAAGTTAATATTGTGGTGAAGTCAATCATAATTCTCTTCCCTTCAAACTACTCTGCTATAAAAAGTTATAATCGAACGACTTTCCTATGGGAAATGGTTGAATTCCTTTGAAAAGAAAATCTTCATTTCAGGCGTTTTTCTTTTTCTTTTTTTAAGGTTAATCTAACTCAGTAGTTGCCAACTAATTTTGGCCTATGCCCCAATTTGGTATTTCTAAATCCCCCCCGGCCGTAATATTTAATTCTTACATATTCAAAATTTTACTGCAATTCACGTGAAAGAAGCTTAAAAGGCCATTAACTTGGTCTCTAAACAAGCCTCCAAAGACCATGGTGTTCATGAAAGAGAAAAATTAAAAAAGCAAAAAGACAGTTAAATGTATATAGTTTCAAAACATAATAGAGAAATGAAAGGTAGAAATATAAAATATTTGATTGAAAGTTTATTCTGTAATATACTTTGATCATTTTAATCATGAAATAATAATGCAAAATTAAATTTGAGCTGACGTTGGTATAGTAAACCGAACAGTTCACATCCTACGCATGCCCTACTAACATATTGCCATACGCCACCAGTAGGGCAAGGACCCCACGTTGGGAATCGTTAGTCAAAGTTATTTTTAGATGCAAGTCAGGGAAATCAAAATTGAGTAGCTCAAGATATTCAAAAATAACTCATTGCGACAACCCTTTATACATGTGCGTTTTTCTGAAGTAATAAAATGTATGGAATTTACTTTAGCAGAAATTAAGGTATTTATTATTAACTTGATTGTAAAAAGAACACAGACTGCTACTTAATATCCACTTGTTTGCTAATTGAATGTTGATTTACAATAAGGGTTGCCAGATTGATCTACAAGCAGTGATTTGAATTACATTTGAATGCTGAAAGCGGAACGCTACTAGAATTTGAATTGACTTTCGTCATAGCTCAAGTTAGCTTATCTTATTTTTCTAAAAATAACCATAAAAGAGGCAAGTAACGGAGTTCAAAGTTTAGCAGAGCTAAACATTTAAAAATAACCTCCTCAGGCAACGATGCTCTTGAAACTCCAAATCCAGTGCCTTCCGATTCTTGTCGGAGGAACCTCTCCCTAATTGACCATGTCTTCAGGGGTGCTGCCAGACTCACCACATTTAGTCAATTGCGGGTTGGTGAGGTTATTTAAACTATAGTTGAAGGTTTTGAATTCAGTTTTCCTTTTCCTAGACCGGTTGCCACCGAAGACTATCGGACACAGTCTGTATTGTTATTTACCCATATTTGGTTGGGGGTGGGGGGAAGAGATGGATTTATACTTTTCCAAAAGTAGAAGCGCGTAAGTGAATGTAATGAACTCGACTGGAATTCGAACTCGGCACTCCGATTTCTCAGTCCGATCTGCTGTCCATTACCCCCACCGTGGTTCTGAACTCAGCGCTTAAATTATTTAGATACAATTGCGTTGCCCAAAGCTATCACATCAGTATTGAGCATCTGAAATTTAAGCATGCATAGACGACAGCCGATTCATCGACAAATAGAATTTTGTTTTATTTTTTATTTTTTTAGAATACCCAGATGTTAAGATTTCCTAAGACAAAGCGAAATCTTTCCAAGGTAGTATTAAGCAACTCGACTTACATAATTCATAATACACATTCAAACTGATATTTTTTTTTACACTTTGTTCACTCTGTACAAGGACAGAGAGCCACTCGAGTTAGAGAGTTACAGAGTATGCGCATATGTGGGGAAGATAACAGTTAACCATAGACTTGGACAGGTTAAGTTTATTCTGATCGAGGAAGAATCCTCTTGGAAGTCAGTTCCACAAAGTGGCGGTTCCTGGAAAAAAAACTGCTTACATCTCACCAATGGAATACGAAGTGAATGGGGTGGGTCGCTATAATGTGCCTAGCATGACCGGTCTTATGCGTGAAGGTTAGAACTTGTGGAACTAAGAAATGTAGTTCGTTTGAGCACTTTTCATGAAAATAGAATTAGAGCAGCGAGATGCTTGCAACGTTTTCGGTATTACTTTTGGTCTTAATTTTTCTTTATTTTCTCTTTTGTTTTTTTGTTCCTTTTGTTCTTTTTTCTGGCTCTTGTAGAGGCAGAGAATAGCAGAAGTCAGATACTGACGCAATATGGGGAAGCGACCATTTTCCCTTCGTCTTTAGCGATGGATCGTATACAAGAGTTCCACCTGAGGTCTGGGTTGAGTTCCAATAGGCGCTTAAGGCTTGGGTGGTCTCTCTGGGGGAACAACTGTTCATCGCGATATTTACGTAAACTTGCGAACACGTTAAATCGTGCGTATTATACTCGGAGCAAACAGTATGCAAAGGAATAGAAAATGAATTGAGTAGCTGAACAAAAATAGAAAGGGGCGTACGAGTCGTCTTCTCTCCAGAATTATCACATCTCTACAGGGAGGTTAGCCTAAGGAAAGTGAAGACCCTACCAGGAATTCTTGTCAGTAACTATATATAAAAAGATACACAGATGACATTGTGTTGATGGCTTACACGGAAAGAAAACTGCAGAATCTCCTGGACAGGGTAGTAAAGGAAAGCAAGATAAAAGGACTAACTATCAACTTCAAGACGACAAAAAACAATCAGCAAGAGGAAAACCTAAGATGCATGTTACAAATTGGAGATGTCAACATCAAGTGAGAGGATTATACTGGGAGCAAACGGCGTACATTCGGAGAGAAAATGAATTGAGTAGCTGAACAAAAATACAAAAAAAAGCGTGAGATGCCTCTTCTCCCCAGATTTATTCAACCTCTACAGCGAGGCTCCCCTTAGGGAGCTGTAAACCTTATCAGGACTCTGTTGATTGCTAACGCGAAGTTATCCTTCTCATAGACTGGTTGCCACCCAAGGCTATCGGACATAGTTTATCCAGATATTTACCCATAGTCGTGGGGGTAGAAGAGATGGATTCATACCTTTCCCAAGGGTATTAACACGTAAGTGAATGTAATGAACTCGACAGGAATTCGAACTATAGAAAATGATTGTATCTCACAGGCAGGGTAGTAAAAGAAAGCAAGATGAAAGGACTAACCATCAACTGCAAGGAGACAAAAACGTATGGTTATCAGTAAGTGCAAAACCTCAGATAAGTTACAAATTGGAAATGTGAACATCAAGCAAGTATAAAAATTTAAATATCTAGGAAGCGTTTTAACAGAGGTTGGGAAATGTGACACCGAAATCCGAAGCACGAAGAGGACTAACGAAGGAGGCATTCCTAGAAGCAAAGTATAAATAATTTCGTTAAACACAAAGAAAATCGTGCTGGATTGCTATATGATATCCATCTTATTATAATGGCACTGAATGCTGGATAATATCTCTACGAATGAGGAGAAAACTGCAAGCAACAAAAATGAAGCTCTACAGGAAGATACTGAGAATTTTATGAACGGAGCGAGTAAGCAACGAGGAAGTCAAAGAAAATGGCAACAAATATGGCAACACTATTCCTTGGACACATAAGGAAGGGGGACTTGGAAAAACTTAACTCTTACAGGGGATATTGAGGACAAGAGAGGCAGGACAATGTAGTGGGTCACCTACCTGTCAAGCTTGTGTGAATGGATGATAAAATGGCGGTGGGATCCTTAGCAAAAAAGAGGAAACTGCTCAGAGTCAAAAGGGATAGGGAATTTTATAGAGCTTTGATCGCCCATATCCTGAAAGGACGCAAGACATAGAAGATGTGATAAATGAAAAAGCTTTACGGTGAAGGCAGTAAAATGTGTAGAAATTAATACTTCGTTCAGCCATCTGTAACAGTAAAGTTGGTTTTCTAGGGTTCGGTGATTTTTACGCCATGTCAACACCTGTTGGGTTATTTAATGTCGAAATCAATCATTTAAAAAAAAAAAGACACGATATCT